CTGCTTCATGGGGAAACCTTGTTTGTCGTTCCCACCACTGATTCGGACCACATAACCCTTCCATTCTTCACCCAGAGCGTCAGCAGCAACTTCTGTCGCCATACGCTTCTCATAAAATGCACGAAGTTTGCGTTCATCCTCCACTTCAATGAGTGTCTGGCAGCCAGTGGCTGGGAAGGAGATGTTCAGCTTCATCTTGAAGCCTGTTATTATTTTTTTTTTTTGAGACGGGGTCTCACTCTTGTCACCCAGGTTGGAGTCCAGTGGAGTCAATCTCAACTCACTGCAACCTCTGCCCCCCAGATTCAAACAATTCTCCTGCCTCAGCCTCCCGAATAGCAGGGATTACAGGAGTGTGCCATCACTCGGCTTTTTTTTTTTTTTTCTGGAGACAAGAGTCTCGCTCCGTTGCCATGCGGCAGGCTGGAGCGCAGTGGCACAATCTCGGCTCACTGCAACCTCCACCTCTCAGGTTCAAGCAATTCTTCTGCCTCAGCCTCCCGAGTAGCTGGGACCACAGGCACATGCCACCACGCCTGGCTAATTTTTGTATTTTTAGTAGAGACGGGGTTTCACCATGTTGGTCAAGATGGTCTCGATCTCTTGATCTCATGATCCGCCCACCTTGGCCTCCCAAAGTGCTGGATTACAGGTGTAAGCCACCATGCCCATGTCTCTACTAAAAATTTTGTATTTTTAGTAGAGACGGGGTTTCCACCATGTTGGCTGGGCTGGTCTCAAACTCTTGACCTTAAGTGATCTGCGCCTCAGCCTCCCAAAGTGCTGGGATTACAGGCGTGAGCCACTGCACCCAGCCGATAATTTTTAATATCTGCTATATCTGCTATATCACATTGTCTATTCTTTCTTTTTTTCTTTTTTAGAGATGGGAGTCTAGCTACATCCACATACTGGAGTACAGTGGCACTATCATGACTCACAACGTAAACTTGAACTCCTGGGCTCAAGCAATCCTCCTGCCTCAGCCTCCTGATTAGCTGGAATTACATGATATGCTACCACGCTTGGGTTCTTACTGTTTCTTACAGTTTTTCAGTTCATTCTCTTAGATTTCCAACATATAGTCATATATAAATAAGGATAATTTCATTTAAAACCTTTATCTACTATACTGTCACAATATTAAATAATGGAATTATGAATATAATTTATGTCATGTCTTTTGACCTTAAGTTCAGTGCTTTTTGAGTATATATTCAAACCACTAAATAGTTATTGAGCACCAACAATCTATAAAGCATTGCTATAGATGAGAAAGACATGGTAAAAAGAAAAATCATTCAATGTTCACATTCATAATCTTTATTTATTTTTAATTATTTTAAAGGCTTAATGCCAGTTTATTTATTATTATTATTATTATTTTTTTTTTTTCTGAGACAGAGTCTTGCTCTGTTGCTAGACACCAGGCAGGAGTACAGTGGTGTGATCTTGGCTCACTGCAACCTCTGCCCCCCAGCTTCAAGCAATTCTCCTGCCTCAGCCTCCAGAGTAGCTGGGACTACAGGTGTGTGCCACCATGCCAGGCTAATTTTTGTATTTTTTAGTAGAGATGGGGTTTCACCATGTTGACCAGGATGGTCTCAATCTCTTGACCTCATGATCCACCTGCCTCGGCCTCCCAAAATGCTGGGATTACAGGTGTGAGCCACCTTGCCCAGTCAGCAATTTTTCACTATTAAGAACAATGCCTTGGTAAAAATCCTTATA